AATTAAAAAATAATAATAATAATAATAATAATAATAATAAAGCAACTGATAAATTAGAAGGAGCTGAACGACGAAGAACTTGAGTTTTTCCTCTTATAGAAGATAATAAGTGCGATAGCGATAACGACGATAAGAACGAAGTAAATGCCATAGAATAAAATACCCCAAATACCCCATCCACTGATGCCATTTTTATCTTCACTATTATTGTTGTGAGAATCATCTGATGACCACTCTGGATGTGGTGCTTCGGATGAATCGTCTAAGATGACTTCAGCAACAATCATACCATCGCTTCCCGTCTCCATGGCACCAACAAACAAGTAGTAGTCTTGTCCTGCCTCTGCTCTATAAGTGAATTGAGCGCCATAATTACCACACGCTTTAGATGATGAATTGGAGCCTGCAACCAAGACGTCTGGAATTGAAACCTCCTTCCCGTCGACTGTTTTTGTCTCACATTTCTTGAAGATTCCAATCAAATTGTTCACTTCAGTCCCACTCGTGCATGTCTTCACGGTAATGTGCATAGGCTTGTTCAAATAAAATCGATAATATGAACCTCTGAGAACCATTCCAGCGGCAGCAGTTGGGTGGCTCTCTGTTGTGTAGACGTACAAATTCTGTTGTGGCACCATGAAGTCCAAATAAGCAGACGTAGCGCACTTAGAACTTTCAAGTGGTGTTGTTTGGTAGATTGAGATTCGATGAGCTCTGGCGACCAAATCGGTCTGAGCCACAGCAAGGTTATAAGAAGTTCTCGAATAAGCGGTGAATGAGATTTTAGAAGCTTTAGTCGCCGAGTTCTCGATGTCGTCATTCTGTGTAATGCATTCACCTTCCGGGTAACAGCCGACTTCGACTTCTAAGAGTGTGTCCGCTTTGGTGTCAATTGAGTTAGTAGTTGCGATCAAGTCGACGGATTCAGTCAACTGGATGTTATACCAGAATGATGGCAATGACTTCATTGAACACTTCAAAGTGTTTCTTGCATTAGGATCAATGAACCCGATAGTAGTGAAAGGTATTGTGATGCTTTTAGGACTTATACATGAAGAGTGCTCGACTTCGTCGTACTTGACAATCCCAACTGAAATAGAAGTGGACCCGGTCGAACTATAAACAAAGACATATAAGCTCCCCGAGTTCAAAAACACGTCGTGCTTTCCAGTCGTATCCTTTGCGGTACAATATGCGTCACAAGAAGAATGTGTTTCAATCACTATTCCTGTAGATAGTCCAGTTGTAGCATCAACAGCACCAATAGAATAGTGCTCGACGTTAGTATTCAAACCCTTTTGAATAAGATACCAAGAACCTTTGTTACTTGTTTCAATACCATTGCAGCCATGTTGGGACGCAGTTAACTGATCAAGGGGGACATTCTCAGTGTATGTGTCTTCAGTTAAGAGAGAGTCTTCGCACTGATAATGGTTCTGTGATTTCATCTGTCCATTAACATTAATGGTGCACTCCTCTGACTTACAGAAGAACTTGGCAATGTAAGTCACACCACTCTCAAATTTGTAGACTTTGTATTGGTCCATCCCACAGACGCCGTTTATCTTGGCAGACACTACTGTCGTTGCCGAACATGATGAGACTACTTCAACACCAGACCCTCCTGTGGTGCTTTTACTCATACAAGTAGACAACACCACTTCATTTCCAGTGCCTACAATGGACAGATACACTACTGTGTATTGTTCGTTATATTCAGAAATGACGGTCGTCTTTGGCCATGCGCTTGGGATCGTCTGCGCTCTTGTAATGGTAATGTAGTAGAAATGGCATTTTCACAAGTGAATGGGAGTGTCGAGTCGAGTCTCTGTACATTCATTTGGTATCTTCCATTCGCAGAGTTCTTGGCAAAGACACCTATAAAGTACTCTTTATCTTTGGTGGATGCAAATGCAAGTGCCGCACCTGTCGACGACTTCCCACACCCTTCGTCGTTATACTTCAAACACTTCGCGCCGTTGCATGTGTTTCCTGATGTGACAGAATCGACCAAGACTAAGATGGTGTCGACTGTATTCACTGTACTACATGTATCAATAAGATACATCTTCCCATCACCTACAAATCGGTACCACCTCGCTGGCATCGCGTTTTCATAACACTCAACTTTCGCGTTATTGGTCGTCGATGTGCGATTGGACACATCCGAATAAGGTACAGACTCTATATTAGACGCAGTGGTGCAGTCAGTGTTTTGCACATCGTTCACTTTAACGAAGTTTGTAGTGATTGATCCGGCTTTGGGTGCCATGACTCTGACCATCACGTAGACTGTTTCATTTGCTTTGATGTCGACAAAAGAAGCAGCTTTTCCTGTTGAAGAGCAGGTCGAGTCGCTTTTGGATACTTTGAACACGTCTTGTGCGACGTTACCAGTGCAAGTGCTGAAGACATAAATCTCTGTGTCCAACGTTGTTTTTGCTCCACAAGTGGAGATGTAAAGTTGATTATCTTCCTCTTCTTTATACATGAAATAAAGACCAGACATTGTTTGTGTTTCAGTCTCTCCAGACTCCGTTTGAAGTTCGATTTGTGACGTTGCTAAGTCTGCAGTGATGGCATGGTGAAAAGTATACGACTGTGGTATGGGCATATAAATTGCTTCTGTACACCGGAGGTTTGTCGGGACGTCGTCCGCCAGCGACAAAACGGCGAAAAGGGTGAGCAATATATACATTGGATATCCAGTTTGGTACCGAAATCTTTTATAGTTTCTTTTAATTTATTTTTAGATATTTAATAGTTTTTCTTTCGCCTTTGATTCCCCTGGTTCGTAAAGTCCCGGTATAACCCATCAAGAAATTGAAGAATACATCGCTTCATTTTCTTCGTCTTTTTCTATCCTTCTGAAATTTCAACGTTGTGAACAAACAATTTTCTACCATAAATGTGTTATTAATTTACTAATAGAATATATAAAACAAAAGAAAAAAACCCAAAATTTCTGAAGTTTTTAAAGCTTCTTACGAATTTTCTTTTCAAATGATTTTTTTTAATTTGAAGTTATTAATAATACTATATAATATTATAATAGTATTACTATAATTAATTTATTATGATAATTATTAATTAGTTTGAATTGAACAAATAAATTCGAGTTAAAAACGCCACGTCATTGGATTCTACTAGTATTTAATCAAGTAAAATTAATCAAACCAAACTATCTAAAGTGATAAATAAAAAGGTACATTCTGTAATAGGTTCTCTTGATGATCTCAACTATTAATTTTGAAACTGTTGAAACACAAGTGCTCCACTGTTCTTGTCGATAACCAACAAGTCCACAAAAAACGTTGGGAGAGGCCTATAATTTATACTTGAAGTTAACTTGACCATTGAATTGACATATCCTTTAAACAGTTCCATGGTATCGATTGGGTTATTCCCACCAGCTACCTGTGTTTCGAGCATCTCGATATATTTGTCGCCATCGACTAGTTTGTTTCTAACTTCTTCAATGAACGTCCTGTTGTTATCAAGCAAAGATTCATCAAACGCAAGACCGATAGGCCCTATACCCGAGAGATTGTGTACTTTAGGCGTTTCAGTGTCATAACTTAAAGTCGAAAAATTCGTGCAAGTGTCTTGTGAACTTGGTGTAATAGAAATCCAAGAACATGGCGCCTCAGATGTTCCTTGTAAACGTTTTTTAAGGTTAATTTGTGTGTTTGACCGTTCAGTTAAGGGAGCCAAGTTCCTTTCATTTCTTCGCTTTGTTGTTTCTGCGCTTGTTGATCGATGTTTTTTTGATGAGGAAGATATTGCAGACTTGTTGTCCCCTTTAGACTCTTCTTTGAAGTCAAAAGACGGTGACGGCGATAACGGCCGACTTTTTGTTCGAGTCCTTGAACTTCCAGCAGAAGAGTGTCTTGAGTTTGCACGGTGTCGTTCAGCAGAGTACGAGCGTGAACGAGTCGGTTTTGTTGGTGGTGTATCTTTATTTAAGATGTAGAAGTCTTCCCATGACATTGTTGATGTGGGATTCGAGTTTTTGAACTCAATGAAGTTGAACCGCATTTTCACGTCGACAATGCGTTTTGTTGAAATACCCTTCAACAACATCATGAAGTACTTCATCTCACAAAACATTGATTTGTCGGTGTTCTTGATGTTATTTCGAAGTGTTTCATCTTCTGCATCGGTCCAAATTGGTGCGGAATGTCTTGATGAACTGTCGGATATTGAGGATAGACTCATGTTTTTTTCAACTAGTTTTTCTTTGTTTTTGCGTGTTAGAAGACACAGAAAAATGCGGTTATCAAAAATGTATCTTCACCAATGTGTTTGTTTGGTAAAACGTACTTTTGAAAATGTATAAGTTATTGAAATTATATAATGATAAGGGTTTTTATTTTATTACATTAACACGTGATTTTTTTTTTATTGGAAAAAATCACCAAATGTTCTATTTTATTTTTATTTTCTGTAGTAAATAAATTAAAAGATTACTACAATTATTATTGATGTTGCTTTATTACGTTTTTATTTATAAATCGTTTAAAAATACAATTTAAGTTTTATTGGTACCATAATAGTTGTTAACTAAATGGTCGAGGCTTTTTCATATAAAAGTTAGAAATAGATAACTATATAAACAAGCATACTAATTTTCCAATTAAAATTATTATTAGTAATAATTATATTTTATTATTTATATAAATAATAATAATAATAACAAATAATTTTTGAATTATTCATAACAACTTAAAATTAAAATATATTTAAGTTTCTTTTTATGTTAATTATAAAGCTCAAATTCATTTTCATAAAAATAATTTTTGATGACTTTAATACTCAAAATTCCTTAATTATAAGGAAGGTGAGACAATATTTTTCTTTAAATTTAAATTGGAGTGTATATGGTATATGATTTTAACAGGTTAGATTTTTACCTTGTAATTATTTTAAAAGGGAGAAGTAATAAAAGGCAAATTTTAGTTTGGTTTAAAAAAAAATAAAAGGGGAAACCTGTTAAAACTATAAGGCGGTTTTTTTGTCCGCCAACAACTGAAAGAAAACAAATAACAATTGAGAACTAATTTGACTAAAATGTGCCAAATATCAATTTTTGGAAAATATTTAGGGGCTTTCCCATGTTAAGTTGCTCACTTTGTAAATACAAATATTTTAAATGTGTGTTGACAACATTTGGATCCATTTGCCTTTCGAATTTTTTATCAATGAGTGTCGAGAGCAGCAAGTTCTTCAACATAGAGACTATTTCTCTGTTTTTGAATTTCCTAAATTACACAGAACAAAACAAGCTTTACTAACTACGCGTTTATAATTCACGCATACAATTTATGTGTTCGTATTTTTTTCGGCGAACTCATTAATAACATTATTATTCTTTTTTAGTTTATCGTTTTTGGGTTTTTTAATTTTTTATTATTTTTAGAATAGTTTCATAAACCACACATTTTTAAATGAAGTTTTTTTCTGTTTATTCACGATTGTGAAAATATGATACTTTCAATTCGCACCATTTTATATTGGAATTATTTGTCGTTGGATGTTTTAAAGTGGTTTAATTTAAAAAAAATCTAATAAAATGTGAAGTTATTGCAAATTCTATTAATCTGCTTGTATCATTATATCACAAAAAAATGTAAATGTATGTGATATTTGTTGAGTATCTGTAATTATATATTAAATAAGACTGTACGTCTGTTTATTATTATCTTACAAATACGATCTCGAATTTAAATTACTCATTTGTTTATGATCAATTTTTTTCGAGTTTTTCAATGGGCAAATTTTATTATTTGGTTATTAATGAACGGATAAAAATCCTTCTTGTAATATTTACCTGTTAATGGAACAAATTACAAAGCATTAAAAACACAACAAATAGATTAACAAATATCCTTCATATTAATTGGGCTTATTTGAGAAGTACGTTTGTAATTTTTCTTGTGTTCTTTAAAGAGTGCGACGTAGTCAAAGGTGTACTCTGTTTTTGTGTTATATTTGTAAAGTAACATTTCTCGTAAATTTTCAGCATCAGTGCTAAATGGATTAAATGAAGGTGTTTCCAAATGTTCAAGAGCACTGAAAATGTTTCCTTTTGAAATCAAAGGAGTCAATTTTTCTTTTTTCATGGCCGATGCATCGCTGATTGAATAAACTTCAGAAGGATGGGTTTGACTAAAAGTGAGTTGGTGTAACTCCGCGCACTTTTCACATAAGAAACAGCCAAATTCCAAATTCACATGTTTTACATTTCCTTCTTGACAATCCGCACATAAAAGATTCTCCTTTTCAAGTAACAACGCTTTCATTATGTTATTCCCTGTGATGCACTTGTCCATGTTTTCACTTTCGATTTTTCCTTTAAGAGAAATATTCGACTGTAGTCTCAAGACATACACCCAAACAAGTGTTTCAGTGAATGTTGAAAACGTAAATTCAGTCACAGCCAATTCTAATTCTTTTTGTCTTGGGTGAAGTGCAACCGTCTTTGGTGCTTTATATTCAACGTACATCATTTGTAAGTGAATGATATTTTTCATATGTTTTTGTCTATATGCATCTTTAATATTATCACATACAAATAATAATCCATTGCCTGTTATTAAATACTCATTTGCACACCATCCCTTCCACTCTATTGTGTTTATATGGTTCTTACTCAATTTGGTTATCGTCTTTCTTCGCTCTATATTTTTTTGAGCAACTTGTTCTTCGGTCTTTCTTTGTTCTATAAAATTACCCAATCGCTCAT